AGCCTCATCTACTTAGATTACTGTGTAAGTGATAGATGAATGGTTTTTAGGGCTGATTAATAATGGAGAAGAAAAGGTAAGTGTGGTAAGACAAATTGAGGCATGTGACACTAATTGCTAGACTCTGTGGTTTCACCGACAGGAGCTTCCACATACAGTATTTGTATCTTTGACAGTTAATTATACCTAGATATATCACCAAGTCCTTTACAATTACACAGAATAGTTATGAGCATTATAGCGTCAAATATTCCAGCTGCGCCAATTTTTTTTTTAATAATTTCCCCTTTTATCCTTTAGCTTCTACTGCAGCTCTTTCAATACTTGCTAATTGCATTGTTATGCCTCTACATCAGTGGCTATCAAACTTCCTAGAGTCACAGAACCCTTTCATATCACTTCTGCCACAGAACCCTAAAGACTGATGCAGAGCCAGGACCCTAGCCTGGCAATGGTGGCACACTGCCTCCTGGCCTGCTTGGCTATTACCTCCAGTCCCTTTGCGGAACCCTGAAGACCTATTGTGGAACCCCACGGTTCCATGGAACAGTTTGAAAACCATTACTGTACGTGATAGGCTATGGCAAGCTAAAGCCATTTCTATTAGAGGGCTATTTCTGCCAAAGGCGGGCCGATTGACTTTAAGCTCCCCAATGTAGAGATGGTTTTTCGGGTCCATGTTGTTTATCTATAATCTGTGCCATTGCAGTAACATTTTGCTTTCCACTTCTTTTGTGTTGATGGGTGTGGGCAGATCAAACCTGTGTGCAGTTCTTCCTCCCACAAAACGTAATTCCCAGAGGTCTTACCTAACCATTTAAAAAGCCCGTTTTCTATTCCTTTACTCTGGACACTGCTCATTGGTGGCTGCTGTTTTTAAGAACTGCTACGTTTTGAAAAATCCATGGTCAAACACTGTTCTCCTGCAAACTGAAACACGCACATCAAATCTTTCAAGAGTCACAAACACTTGGGCTTCCAGGTGTAGACTAATACTAATCTAAACTAAACCAGATTCAAGGGTTGCTTAAGCATGGCTCTTCCTTGGTAGAATTGGATTCTCACTTCTTAGCTCCTTGGGTTCAATTCCTTTTCAGCTAAGGTACGCAAGTAAAGTGGCAGCATCTCCCAAACACCAGAGGGAGACATCATTTGCAGTAAACTGCCCAAATCTGTGACATCCCTAGTACCCATACATGAGAAATGAAATTATTAACAGTGTTGATATTTAAGTCATCCCCAAACTTAATTCAGCTGCCCATGTTGAGATGAATGGGGCACTGCTTTGCTTACTTCTTAGAGGCAATCTGGAGATGTCTCTCTATATTTGGTTACACTATTCACACTTTGCAAGTTTTCTTTGGAACTGTAATAGTTAAAAGTTTACTTACTTAAAAAAGAAAGTCGAGATTCCGGAGACAGGAGGGGTAGTTTGAGAGGATAAGATCAGTGGAGTCACCAGCTGAATCCAAGTCCTGGCCCTCATTACATTTTGGGTCTTCTGCACCAACAGCCTAGACCAGGGATAGGCTACTAGGCTTGTGCGAGTAGGCAGCTATTCGATCCACCTTCGGATCTGGCCACTTTGGAGCCGCCTCGGAGATCTGCCCATAGGGTATAATGGGGAATCAATTAAATATCTATAACTTTTTTGCTTTTTGTCTGATTTGAATTAAACTTGGCAGGGCTTCATGCTCTCAGCAAAGGCTACCACCCCTACAGGTTTCAAGAAGATGGTTGCTGGGTCCTGGGTGGCACAGGACCCAGCCACAAGCACTCCTCTCCAAAGCAGCTTGGAGAGTGGAGGCAGGGGGCTTTGGCTGCAGGCAACATGACTGAAGCCCCATGTCTGTGAACCAAATCCAGTGGTTCTGCAGACTGGATTGGGCCTATGGGCTGTAGGTTGCCAACCCCTGGCCTGACTCTAGTACCTAGAAGCATCCTAGTTCTTTCTATCCTGCATGGAAAAACTGACCAGCAGAACTAAATCAGTATAACCTGCAGTTAGTTACCTGGCCGAAAAATAGTTCTATCCACACCAGTACCATCTTATGCTGGCATTAGTTTACTGCAGCCTAACAGCGTTGCATGTGTAGACAGTGACACTTTACGCTGCAGCTAATTGGTCTACTCTGCAGTTAAGCATGTGTGTAGACGTGGCCTGTATGAACATACTATTCTGGAATAAAGGGACTTTTTTTGGTATATGTATTCCTATCCAAAACAACGTGTCAGACCAATAAACCTTATAGGCAGGAGAAACAGCCAAAAGCTTAATTTGTATGCCATAGCTGAAACTAGCCCGGATAAGGATTTAGAGAGAGAAAATACAAACCACTTTAACAGGAGTGGCACAAACAAGAAATTCAAGTGTGTTTCAATAAAGAACCCTAAATGCAGACTCCTGTGAATTGGACTAATTTTATGGATAAAATTTGCTAAGTCACTTAGGCACTTTGGAAAAAAATACTCTATGTAACAGATAAGGATTAAAACAAAGATAATTGGACAGAGACAAATTTTGATAATTTTAATTAGTTTTTGTTGATAGTTTAAAAAAAAAAAAGAGAGGGTTGCTTGAGAAAAGTAGGATAGTTTTACTAACAGCACACACAAAAGCCCCCAGGGTGAGCTGCTAATGTTTCTATGCAGAAAAAAAGAAAGCAATTGATGTATCCACTAAGTCCATGTCTGTGTTATTACAGACAAAGGTGACTTTGTCTGCTTTCATTTCAGGCCAATTACAGTACTTGGGTACTATAATGATAAACACTGTAGAAAAGCTGATAGCCTAAGCATCTCTTAAATTCTGGTTTAAACACTTTTTCAACTAAAGGAAGAAATAAGAGAAATAAATACACTTGTCAAACATCCAGTCTTATGTCTGACTCTGACAGAAGAAATGAAGTAGAGAAGGAATATAATCAATTTATTAGTTCTCTATAACACATCTTTTCCATGGTTGAATCTGACCTTCCTGAAGGAGGGAGTGTATGTGAATCCGGAATGAAACAGGCTTTCTTATTTTTTAAATAAAAATGTAAGGTGTAAAACTCCACTTAAAAAAAAAAAGTCCTCAGTTGCTTTGATAAACTATATCAACAGTCTTGGAGATGGCAGCTTCCACAACTGACACAAATTAGTCTCCTTTGCTCTGAAATAACATCCCTCACTCCAACTCAAGTCGAGGTAAGACAGGAAGAATAAGATTTCCAAAAGCAGAGTCTTGAGTTATGAAGTATCCTGAAGAATGTGCATGTGCATGCTGAAAGGCAAAAATACTCATTAAATCAACTTCCACAGCACCAATATAAATTGTAACCTAACTACTACAGACCTATTCAAGGGGTCCCTAACTTGCATCCAAGAGCTTTGGCTCAATCACACTTCAGACTCGCATCTCATTTCTCCGGGCTATGCTCTTTGGATTAGGGCAAGTACTTCAACCTCCTTTTGTTGGTTTGTTTTGTTTTTGTGTGTGTGTGTTTGTTTGTTTGTTGTTTTTTTTTTTTATCTCCCTAGTACACTGGGGATGTTACTAGAAACAAAAGTAATCTTCATCATACGTACCGCTGCTCTAGACCCACGGAAAACAAGTGGGAAGAGGGAACAGCCATTGTATTTTAGTCTACGGTTCAAAATACAAGAGGCATCACCTAGGGACAAATCCTTCAAGGGAATTTAGAAGTGTCCAACAAATCAGTCTGGCTTATTTATAGACCTCTGAAGAGTAGTTTTCTCAGCACCTCTAGGAAAGGATGACTGAGAGAAGCACTCACAAATTGCTGTGTATAGCTTCTCACAAATTGCTGTGTATTGTTAAAAAGGATCATGTCCCCCCTTCCAACCCTGTGTTGGTGAAGCTGAAAAGGAAAAACCTCACTATTTTGTTGTTGTAATAGGGAGACAGAGGCTCGCTGTTACTTTAAAGGAACACCAGCAGCAGGGAGAACTCCAGGTGGGATAGTCTGCCTGTAAAGAGTACCAGAAAAACAGGCTGCCTGGGTACTTTGGGCTGCGAGTGCTTACTGCTGAGCTCGCTGCTCTGCAGTAGTACAATTAGGCAGAGAGTGCTTACCGTAGAGCTAGTTGCCCTGCAGTAGTACCAGGGAGCAGGTCCATAGCTCCTAGTTCAGCAGCTGTAAGCTGCTCTACAGGTCAGCCAGCAAGCCTAAGAAAGAACCTCTGGTAGCTGTGGGAGGAGGCAGGGGAGAGGCACATGACCTGGAGGGACTAGGCTTAGGCAACATAAGCTCACAGGCTTGAGCCCAGAAGGCAGTCTGTCTGCAGGCTGGCAGGGGAAGAGCTCCTCCATGATGACTGTGGATGAGAAACTGTTTAGGAAATCCCAATTACCAAGCAGGCTACAAGTAAGGGCAGGGAGGCTTGCAAAAGAGGTAACGGCTGTTATAAAGCCAGGGGGCTTTTAGTTTCAGTTACAGCTTAAGGGCTTGCCTTTTGAGTACAGGCAGTCCGTGACTTACAACGTTTTGCACTCACAACGTTTATAAATTGACACCCTGTTTCAACTTTATGACATCAGTTTCGACTTTATAACGCTTGATCCAATGCCACACCACGCCGGCAAACAAGTTTGCTGCATCACTCATCTCCCTGGAGAACATCTGCCCAAACTTCCTTGGACACTTTCTTTAAGAAAGCAGACAAGACTCCAGAAAAACCTGTAGCCAAGACTCCTGAGAAGACTCCAGCCAAGAACCCTTCAAAAAGTCCAACCAAGAGCCCTTCTAAAAGTCCAGCAAAGTCACCTCAAAGAAGTCCTCCCAAATCAATGTGATTGCTATTTACAATATAAATACACTAATATTACTCGTCTATAATTGATCAAGTACAAAATTCTGGGGTATTTTTAGTGCAAATAGGGTATTGGGCCTTGGTTCAGGAACCAATCCCGCATTTGTAACATTGTTTCTTATGAGAAAATTGGTTCCGAGTTACAACGTTTTGACTTAAGACGTGGTTTTCAGGAACCAATTGTCGTAAGTCTGAGGACTGCCTGTATAATTTATACCGGTGGACTGGGTGTGGCCTGCAAAGAGGTAATGAGGAGGCTGTGGTCGGGTGCCCTGCAACTTATTGCCAGCGGGGCATATGAGATCTGCAGGGAGAGGACAAAGGACGCAAGTGGGCAATAGCAGGCCTGAGGCCAAGGGAGAGCTGGAGCACAAGCCTGAAAGGGGCGGAACCTGGGCCAGGGGTCCAACAGGGGCAAAACCAAAACCCAAGAGGGCAAGACTACAGCTGGAGCCAAGAAGCTAGGTCCAGGGTAGAAGGCGTAGGTGAAAAGGCCTAGCTAGAGAACTGAGGCAGAGGCCAAGAAGGTCATGGCCCCAACAAGGGCATAAAGACCTGAAGTAGCTTAGAACTGACTTGGAGCAAAGTGCCCCACATGAGTGATGACCAAGAACACTTGTGAGGCATGGGCACAGCTGTGCCCAAAATATTCAGGCATTCAGCTCTGCATCAGATGCAAACAGCAGTAATAATTCTTATCTGTTGAAGAACCTGACTGAGAAGCAAATGGATAAAGCTGAATCCTGGAATTCCTGAGGGAACTGGTGAAAAGAAAGGACTTGCATAACATGATTTCTCCAAATTTAAAGTGTGTTACATCTCCGTGCTCTCCTTGCACTTACCGACTGTAACAGGGGGCCTTCTCCGGGGCTGATCTACCAATGCCCTGCCCACCTGTTCTGGGCCAACCACCCAACTTCTCGCCTGCCATGCCTTGACATTATCTAAGTAAGTTGTTAATTAGGTGGGAGGCTGCCCATTTCTTGCCCTGATGCCAGGGGGCTCTATCTGTGGCTCCGTTCCACTCCTACGCTGCAGCCCATGGCTCACAGATGGCATCTATAGTTGTTAACATCACCAGCCCCACACTGGGCCCTAGAATCCTCCAATCTGGACCCCTCCAAGATTTAGGTGGCCTACTCTGCCTTCATTCTGGGCTACCTAGCTCCCTGAGCTGTTCCCCCTTATGGGTGTGGTCCCCCGGGACCTTTGGCTACACAGGCCCTGGCCTGCCCTCCAGGCCAGTTGGAACCCCAGGCCCTCAGCTCTGGGTGTCCCTTGCAGTAGACCTCTGGTCCTTCGACCCTTCTGGTCCTGGCCCCAGCACTGACCAGGCGGGGGATTTCAAGACAGAGTGGGGCTGTAGACTCAGAAACCTATCTCCAGGGTCCACCTTCCAGACCCTACAAGGGGGTAACCCACCCGGTTGTGGGAGCTGGGGGTTATTAAGGTACCCCAACCCGCCTTTTACCGGGGTGATAACTGGCCTGGTATTTCCTGGAGGCTCCCGCGTCACTGAGCGCCCCACCAGGCCACCCACTCCCGGCAGGGTGCAATTTTAGGTCATGCCCAGGACCAGGAGCCTCCCAACCATCCCCAACAGCTCCTGCCTTTACCTCCAGGATGTTCCAAGCAGCTTTGCAGCCAGGTGATGTTACTGCCCAGCCTGCCAGCAGCAAACTGCTCTGTTTATATAGGTGGCCAGAGAGCTAAAATGACTGCCACAATCAAGCACCTGCTGGCTGCCTGGCCGAGTCCTTAAAGTGGCAGGCACCAACAGTGTCCTGCCACACCAACCATTAATAAAACAGAGTTCAGTGCATTTAATTTTGAGCTGAGATGTTCACGGGTTTTTCCCTGCTATACCACTTCAGCAGGGTACCCAGTTTACCCTTCAGCCAGTGCATTCTGTAAGGATTTCTAGTACAGCTGTGTCGCATGTATTGGAGCAGACCCGAGTTAGAAAGGAGATTTGATTCCAGAGCTCCAGGAGCATATGTGATGTGCCAAATGACAAGGTGAATTATGTGTCTGCTTGCATTTGAGACTTCTGTTGCAATAGTTGCCACTCTAGAACTCCAGATGGAATCATTGTGAGGGAGACCTTCCCTGGGGATACAGAGGAGCATTAGTACAGTTTGAGTGCCTGGGTTCACCTCTGGTACTTAGATCCACACTTCCACAACAGATTTTTAATCCCATAGGAATGAGGGATTCTTTGTTAGGTCTCAGTGTTGAGACAGAAGTACTGATTCTCTCTTGGTTTGAGCCTTCAATCCTAGAGTCTAACTCGGGTCTGTTCTAATACATGTCTCCTACAGGTGCAATACGGTATTGCCTGCTGTAATGATTGTCTCTCCAGGCACTGTGGGTTCCCATGAGGATTGACAGTCTTTGTTTCCACAGAACTAGTGCCTTTTCTTTTCCAATGACAGCTAGGCATTCTTGGTCACAGTCCACAAGAGGGAGATTCTCCCTAAGATGGGAAAATACTGAGCTGATTCCTTTTTCAGGGCCACCAACAGAAGTTTGGGATGAGAGGCATGTTCTTTCTTTTGAACAATTCAGGTTTCCCTCACTTTATGCAGGTTCTGTATGTGCTAATTCGCTCTTATGCAGTGACCCTTTTTATACCAAAAATCTGTTATATGTGAGGTAAATTCACTCTTATGCGATTGGTGTGGTGGAAGCCTGCAGTCAGTTGCTTGGTGCAGTGCGTTGTGGGAGTGACGTGCACCAAAATATAGTCTCCTGTGTGGATCTGTGCTCCTTGCTCATTGTCTGCAGCACGCGTTTCTGTAGTTGCCATCCCCATTATGGCTTTTAAGCGTCCTGCTAGCTTATATCCTACCCCTCTCCCTGGTCCATCAATGAAGCACAAGAGAACTTCACTAACACTGGAGGGACCTGGAGATTTTGAACTGTACAGAAGCTGGTGGGGGGCCAAAAATATGATAGAAATGGGTCTGGGGGTCAGTACAAAGTCTTTGAACGTATCCCTATTTGTTACATTGTAAAGCGGGTTCCCTTTATGCGAATTTGAGTTATGTGCCATTTTCCAGGAACACATGTACAGCATAAAACGAGGAAAATCTGTACAGAGAAAACTGTCCATAGCTTCCCATAATCAGCATAACTGGAGAGAGGTAGAAAGAAGGGAAAGAAAAAAAATCAGATAAAACAAAGTGCTATAAAAGTACTTTTTTGCAAAAATGTTTCAGCAATTTCATACACTTCTGTTTCTACTGGGCGTGAGGAAGCTTGACTGTTTCGAATTCAAAACCTTCTAATCAAAACAATGCTCAGTCTTTCATTGGTGAAGGCAAGATATTTAAAATTGTAACAGCTAACAACATGAGCCATACATTTTATACCTGAGTATGTCACACTGTTTCCTCGATCACCTCTCAGGAGAGTAGGTTATCTATGACAGTACCAAGACAGGCCAAAGAATGATAAATAACCATAGCCACTGTGGTTAACAGGTAAGACCACTAGCCATGTACTGATGGGTCTGTACACCTTTTGGATAAGAGTTAGTTTCAATGTAACCATCACAATATTTGAAGGGACACTTACATTGACACTGTATCAAAGAATTAAGGAATTAAAGACATTTTGGCTTGTACAGAAAGGGTTGAAATTTCACTTTGGCTATGTACAGCAAAAAGTTTAAAAAGAAACCCATCAACAGATATTTTTACACATCCTCCTGAAGTGCAAGGTTGTTCTTTGGAAGAGTTAAAGCAAAAGTAAAACAAAATTGAGGAGGACACACTTACTACATTTACTCACAGAATTAACTTATTATAATTTTCCAGGTATAGAATATAATTACTGGAAGTTTGCCTTGAATTTGCCCCCCTTCCACTGCTACAACATGGAAAATGTATCTGGGGGAGGGGTCAAGTAGCCCTTTGTTTTCTGTTTCCCCCCACTTTTTTTCCCCTGGTAGTCCCTTCCCCTTAGTACCCATGCACTTAGTTCATCAAGAATTGATGCAGCTAACTTTTTTTTTTTTTTTTAAACTGTTGCAAGTTTGATCACATGTACACCATAAACACACTTTTAAACAGCTGTCTGCCACCTACTTTTATGTAGTACAAACCATGCATAATATTAGTCCAAAGCTAAAGGCTTGGGATTTACCATATGGGTCACTGGGCTGAGCCCTACCAGAATCAATAGCATGTCAAACCATGGTTACCCCACAGCTCAGCTCAGCTCAGCTCAGCTCAGCTCAGCTCAGCTCAGCTCAGCTCTGTGTGTGTGTGTGTGTGTGTGTACACTCCAGATACCTCAACAAAGGATCCATGTGCTAATTAGCCCCTACTCATGATTGGAATCAGGTGTCCTTGTCATAAGACCTGGGATCCTCCAAAAATGTAAGTATAGATGAGGTGCAGAGCAAACTGGTCCAGGTCTATCTTATGGGCGGCAGGTCCACATTAATCGTATATGCCAGGGTAAGGGAAGGGATGACAGAGGAATTCTGGGTAAACAGTATACAATGTTGTGGCTCACCATGACTTGTAAGGGTCGGTGGTGAAGGGGACTGCATTCAATGGCCACTACCATGTTTTATTCAGATAAGCTACACTTAACCTATTCTAGGTTCCCATCAGCAATGTGTGCCATGTGTTTTATAGTCATGCACTGCATTGGCTGCATTTAATTAACTTCATAGTTGGTTTCTATTGCTGAGCATGTGCTGCATTTGGCAACAGTTTAATGACAGACAGTGTATTTAATGAGATTTCCTTGTATGTGATTGATTATAAGGTATGGGGCTTTTTCCCCTCATGCCAACCGGAGGTACCTCATCTTGTATTCAAGTAAATACTCTAATTTGAGTACTCTTGGACTACAACAGCTTACCTGTAATGCAGCCTTTTGCTGTGCTGCTATGTGCTGTTGTTCAGCATGGTCACGGAAATCCTTATTAAGGGAAGGTCTTGCAAGTGCAATACTGGGGGGAAAAAAGTACAATGCATTATTCAAAAACTGAATCTACTTCTGTCAGTTAGATTCAGATGATTTATTTCAAACCCCTTAATTAATGTTTTAGAATTGTTTTTATATACAAATGAGAATGTGGTGACTTCAGCTAAAGTTTTCAATTCAGAAGAAATGATGCCAAGCTGAAGCCAGAAATCTAAGAGGCCTACCGCTTAATGTTGTTTTTTTTTATCTCACTCATTTTCATTCTACTGGTGTAACTTCACTGACATTGTTTAATGACAACTTTTGTCACCATTACCACCTTGTGTCTTAACGCATCTTTGACAAAGCAGCAGCCATAAGAAGGGATCCATAGTCTTCATTAAAAGAAGGTCTCATGTTTGGCTGAAGAACTGTACAATCTGTCACATAACAAAGTGTTTCTTATTCATACAAAATTCAAGTGAAGAATCTTTGATAGTGCTGATAGTTGCAGTCCATAAAATTGCTTTAATTTATATACTGATGTACAACAAATATTTTTGGTTTCAATTAAATAAATAATTGTCAAGGCAAATTCAAACAATGTTACATTATGTAAGGCTTTTGTAGGGTTGGTCTTCACTGCTAAAAGAGCTGGGTTTTTTTAAACTTGAAAGTAACGCATATATATGAACAATCCTGAGGTAAAGTCAGACAATGAAGAGAAGCCACTTTAGCTTTTTTAGCTTTACTGTGACAAACTATTAGGGGTGCTGATCTTTAATCGTTGCCTGGAACCTGCTCCCCCACCCCCAAAAAACCACAACAAACCCACAGCTTTTGCAGCAGTGAAGACAAAGCAGTTAAGAGTCCAGTTCTGCTCAAAATGGAAATGTGCTCCAAATCTGCCCATTTCCCATCAAATAATATAAGTTGCTGGAAGCTGAGCAGCTTTACATAATGGAGAACAGGTCAGGTTTTCAAGAGTAGCAGTATTTATCATTGGACCTTGTGCCAAGTTTTAGCCCAAATGAATACTCAAGCTAAACAATCAGACTCTGAACAGAAGGGTATGTAACACATACTAATTTAAAACTTCAATGCTGCTGAAGAGGTCTATATTCCAGTTTCTTTACCTCTTCCTAAAGTATACTTTTCACTTGAATGTTTTTCTATTTAATAATGTATTGCAAAGTAAACTTCTCCAAATAGACATTTTAAAATAAACTTCAGACCTGCACAAGTGTCTTAAATTTACATTTAGTAGAGAGTTCCTGTGTCCTCAAGCCTAAGACTCGTATGACAAGAGTGGAAATGAATGAAATCTTTTCAGATTTTAAGTAGTCAAAGCCCTTGCTATTAGCATCCTAGCTACCTTCATACTTTGTCTTGATTTAAGCTTTTCTAGCAATTTAACAAAATGTAACATGGGCTTAAATTCTTTATGCATAATGATGCTAAAACTGTGGTACAATAGGTACTGCAATGTTGGTAATGACACTGCCAACCACGAACATTCAAAACTCATGAGTCAGATGCCACTTAAGACAGTGGCTTAGAGTTGGTATTTTTTTCACACTCTACCTTGTATTTTTTTTGAGACTTTAGGCTAAGCTGGATTGAAATTTTCCTGATTTTTTTCCCCCTTTTCCCCTCCTTTCCTTTCCCCTCTTTATAAGCTTCAGAGCTACATACTTGCTTCTGGTTTTTACAAGTTGGGCTCTCCAGGAGCTGGATCTATAAAAGATCGGAGAGGAAGGGGTGGAAATCACCCACAAGAACTATGAGAACAGGCAATGCTGTCACCAGGAATCAAGGACTGCAAAAATTAATCTGAATGATTCTATTTCTCCTTCCATGAAAAGTACCTATTTTAAACGCTATTGGGTTTGGAGTCAATTATGAAAATATAAGTGGAACCAAGTCCAAAAAGCCTTTTAACATTGTGACTTTTAGGCTAAGTATAGTCAAAAGCCCAAGGCTGAATCGATTCAATCTTTGCAAGTTAGTCTAAGCTGCATAGATTGAAATGATAAGCAAGTGAATAGACATTTATTTACTTTTGATTCCAGAAATGCAGCCACACGATTTAAATATCTAGTCAAGATGCCTTCATTTTAATCATACAAAAGTGCATTCCTGTTGTTTGACATCCTTTATTCATTTAACTTCTTGAAACTGCACTTTTAGAGAAAGGTAAGGGCTTGGCTGTCTCTACACAAACTTGCAGAGAGAGACAACAGTGCTAATAATCAGGTCCGTTATCTCTCAGCTCCATATACTCCTGTTAACAAGGATATTATCTCTGGAAACAACAAATTCTCCTTATGCCTGAAGAAGGGCATTTGTGCCCAAAAGCTGGCAAAGAACAATTTTTCCAATAATTTAGCTGGTCTAATAAAAGACATCACATCTACCCAAAGAACCTTGTCTGCCTAAAATCTCTGGAGACGCAAATCCAGAGCTTGAGAACTGAAACCAAGCATCAGAGATGCTTAATGGGATCTTCTAGACTGAGCACTGAGTCCCATTGGGTAGAATGAATTTCTTTAATCTTTACTAATCTGTATAAGAGCCTCTGGGAACCCCATAAGATTGGGACCCTAATATAGTCCAGCCCTGTTGTGACCTATTTATAAAACTTCTAAAAAGGTTACATGAATATATTGTCTCAAATAGTATATAATTAGAAGTTATTATTCCTATCCCACAGTGAGATCTTTGAGCTTTAACATCTATTAAATTTAAATTATCTTTATAGAAGTTTATTTTTTTCAAAAAAGCATCTTATAAAAAAAATCTAATTTAAAGTTAAAAAATCCAATTTAATTTTTTTAAAAAAGAAAACCTCCTGATTTTAAAAAATATATATTTTTTTAAATGTTGATTTTTAACCACCCTGATATTGGGGAACTGTGAGTTAACTTGAATCTGGAGGGGATCTGGTACAGAAGTTCAATAAACCAATTTAACTTAAATCAGTTAGGTCTGATTACTATGTCCATCCAGGCTTATTTTAAACCAGTTTCAGCCATTTTGATAGTTGATTATGTGCACTAAACTTCTGTTGTGTTACATATTTGAACCAGTTTCTAATCACTCATTGGTTTACATGCAATTTCTGTCCCTAGCCCCAATATGCTGAATACCCCTCAAAAGAGAGAATAAGCAGTTTATTTAGCTCTTTACTGAAGCAAAGGCTCTTCATAACATTCTTTTTAGAGATCGTAAGATCTAGACCTTTTGTAGACTATGACCCTTGCTGAGAATATTGTTATAGCCACAATATGGCATGACACCTTGTTCTTGCTCTTGGTGGCCAGGATGAGCAAGGCAGGCCAGATCTATAGGACTAGTTTATGGTACAGAGTCATCTCTAGATAAAAAAACTGCAGGGTTTTGTAATCACCAGTCTTTTCCAACATAAAAAAACTGGCCTTAGCTTCTTCTAACAAGGCAGTTCCAGAGGGGATCAGGCATGTTCTGTAGCATGCCTATATTCTCCAGCTATAACTATTCTGTGAATATTTTTTGAATATTTCTCATCATAACAGACTACCTACATCTGTGTTTTTCTATCTAACTTTAAAAGGGTGCTCTTGTAAAGCAAGAAACAGCAGATAAGCTCAATAATTGAACATTTTCTGGGCCCATGCTCCCTCGCTCTCCTTTACAAGATGCTTAAGACTCCTGAAGCTTGTGTAATTCTCTCAAATGGAAAAACGCAGCTCAAGATAATCCATAAAGAAAATGAACAAATATGATCACAAGGTTTGCAATGTCACTCTTATGCTAGTGGTTGAGGAGTCTCAAGCACACACTTTTAAATGTTTTGTTCTTGTGTTATGGGTGATCCATAGATATGAACATTTAACCTTTAAAAATATTTTGATCTAAGACGTGTTGTCCAAAGAGGTATATGAACATAAAGTACCTGGCTCCAGGATGATTTGTGGATGACTGGTTTTGCATAAGTAACTTTCTCTTCTCCTTGTCTAGTTCTGCCAAAATTGCAACCCTATTTTTATTCTGAAAACCTGGGGAGAATGAGAAAAATTATTAGAGAGATTTGCTTTATTTCTATGAGCCACCTATAACCTTACAGAATTAAAGTCTCTGCACAACATGACATTATGATGAATATGCTAATCTTCAAAGCTTTGCACCAATCTGAAAGGCTATTAATAAATAGGTTTTATTTTTCCTCTCCTCATTTTACAACATGAAATAGCTTCCTAAAGATATCATACATATTAATATGTTTTAAAATATAGTCTATCATCTCCAGTCTCCCTCCACCACCCCCTCACCCCACTTCCCTTCAGGAACCAGTATTAGTGCTGAGCCAAGATATGTGCATTCAAATATCTGGCTTCTTGACAGTGTTAGGAGACTAAGTAAATTTACCAGATTCTTTAGTAAAAGGATATGGTTGCACCTATGATAACAAGGGATGGTTGTATTCAGAGAGTGAATTTTGTCCTATTCAGTTAAAACCTGTGAACTATGATGAAAATTGGTTTCCCCTCCAATCTCTGAATTATAAGCAAAAGATAAGACACAGTGTCAATAAACATTTATACAGGACAAAATTCTCTACTCTAGTGGATCTCTATTTTACTATTCTGTGGGTGCATGTACACAAGACCTTTACTGTGGAGTAGACTAATTAGCTCTGCAGTAAAATGTCTCCAGAGCTATTAGGCCAGAATAAACTAATTAACTCCGCCGTAGGTCAGTACTGCCAGATACAAATACTATCCTATGGCGGAGGTATGTACCCCACCACAATGCGTGTGTAAATGCTGACCAGGGCTGGCTGGGGCATGAGGTTCCATAGTGGGGGGGCTTCCTGCTGGCTAGCCCTGCACTATAGCACCCTTGTGCCCCAGCCAGCCCCTCTGCAGCACACTAAGCAGGGTCGGAGCAGTCCTAGGCTGGCAGGCTGACCCCCTGGGACTCTTGCCAGCTGGGACTGAGCCACCCCAGGTCAATGTGCTGCAGTCAATAAACTCCAGTATGAACTGCACCACAGTTTATTGCGTTACATTAATATTCACGTTTAAATGCACTCTGTCTTAACATGCTCTCTCCCTCCTCCCCATCTATTTCCAATCTGTTCAGGGACTTATAAGCATGACTGCAAAGCAGGATATTGGAACTAGCTTGTCCTGCGTAGAACTAAACGGACAATGTTGCTGTTATCTGGGTTTTTTAATGTTTTTAGGGAGCAGAAGGGGATTTTTGGAGGAGAGAAGGGTTCAAAAGGCAGAATGAACCAAGAGAAAGGCTGGGACACAGAAAAAAGGCTGTCTTACGTAGCCATTATTTCTTTATATTCTATTTTATCATCGTTAAAAAATACACTAATTTTATGTATGTTAATATAGAAATTTTATAGGACTTATGTACACATTCATGTTCAAAGGTTCATCATCCCTCTACTTCCAAAATTGCTTTGCTACTACTGAACATATCAGGTAAGGAAGCACCCCCACTGCTGCCCAAGCAACCACACACAGCACAACTGAGGTGGGTGGGGGTACCTACAAAAATGAGTCTCAGTGAACTCCTACCATACTACAGAGCAGTGGTCCCCAAATGGGGTCACAACAGGAGTGGATGGGGTCGTGATAAACATGACCCCTAAGATTTCTGTGCCCACAATGGGGTTGCACCCAGGCTGCAGCCAAGCTGGACCTGCTCTGGGGCAGGAGCCGCCTCTGTGGCCTAACGGGTAGGGACCATTGTGAGAGGGAGTGCTGCACCACCATGGCTGCCAAGGCGAGACACAGCTGCGGTGGTGGCACAGAGTTGTGCCCAAGCTGCTGCCCAGTGAGCAGGGGGCACCTCAGCTTGGTAGCGCAATGCTCCCTCCTTCCTGTGCTGCATCCAGTGGGGTCTCCAACCTTTTTAAGGTGAAGATAACTTTTTGAAGTAAAGGACAACCCAGGACCTACTGCTTCCCCCCACCCCATCCTGCCCAGCAGGTCAGTCTGGGGGGGGGGCAGATCGAGGCCCCTGTGGTGAGGGAGGGAGTGGGGCACTGGCCAGGCCAGGCCGAGGGAGGGTTGGAGCCTAGGTGTTTCATCCAGGCATGCAAGGCAGGGCTCCCATCTCTGCACACACCCTGACGGAGGTGCAGGGGCATAGGCAGAGGAAGAAAAAATTATTCGGAGGGTCTGAAATTATTATGTGGGAAGGGGAGGGCAGCTCCTGCTGCTGCACTCACCCCAGGAGGCATGGGGGGCGTGTGCCCCCTGGTCTGCGTGCGGGGAGGCGGGCTGAACCTGCGGGCTGGGCTGTGTTGGGCTCTTCCTGGCAGGGAGGCACTGGGCTGGGCTGCGCTCGGGGTGGGCAGTGGTGGCACTTGGATTGGGGGGAGGGGCCTACGGTGAATTTTGGGGTGGCTGCAGCACCACTGTCGCCTGCCCTGAGTGCAGCCCAGCCCAGCGCCCCCGCCCCCTGCTAGGAGGAGCCTGGTGCAGCCCTGGCCCCAGCCCTCAGCTGCAGCCCACCTCCCCCCATGCAGATGCGGGGGCACATGCCTCCCCTGCCTGCCTGGGGTGCATGCAGCGGCAGAAGCCCCACCCCTGGACAAAACCCCAGACTTAGGCCCCGCAACTGAGATCGCCTGTCAGAGGCTCCCCAATTGACCAGTTGATCATGATCAACCGGTTGGAGACCACTGATCTAGAAACTGTGATGTGTCTGTTCACAATTTCAAACTGACTCCTGTATTAGATTAACGTGCATCTTATCCAAACAGTATCTATTACTGTACCTTTAAAATCCAAAATGCACATGCTTTATGTTTGACTCCTCCAGAAAACATCATGACTGAAGTGATAATAAAAGATACACTACAAAGGTAATCAGCCTGCACTGTACTTGATGTCATTTGTTTATAAGGATTTATATGGAGCCTATCACCACAGAAGCTCAGTCAAATATGGTTTAGATCTGGGGTGGGCAATTATTTGGGCCCATGGGCCACACAGGTAGTTCTGGGGAGCAGCAGCAGCCAGGCAGAAGCTGCAGCTTGGTGTGGGGGGAAAAGCAGCCCCTCCCCTTTGCCACTGCCAGGCCCTTTGTGCTGCAGCCGCTGGAAGCCCACACCTGGGCTGCCCTGCCTATTCCTCTCTGCCACTGTTGCCTCTGGGCCGCCCGTGGGGCAGTAGTGGCAGCAGAGAGGAGCAGCAGGGCAGCCTGGGTGTGAGCTCTGGGCGACTGCAGCAAGAAACGCCCAGTGGTGAGTGGCAAAGGGGAGGGCCTGCTTTTCCCCCAAACAGAGATGCAGCTTCTGCCCAGCTGCCCTGCTGCTCAGTGTCGGCAAGCAGTCTGGAGCAGGCAAAGGGTGGGCAGGGTCATGATCGGGGCTGTGTGCGCAGCTTCCAGCTGGTCTGGAGCTGGTCCGCTCCACTGGGTCAAGTCTGGAGCAGATGTGGGGCGCGCTGGGGGAGGGGCTGTACATGCGGGTCCCTGCCAATACCACAGGGTTGGGGCCAGCGATGGAAGGAGCTGCTGCCACCTGGGCTGCCTTGAAAGGCAATCCAGCTATGGAGCTGCCCCAGCTGTGCTGTGCCCAGGGGGCAGCAGGACACGTTATGGGATGGATGGAGCCTGGGCCAGGTGGGACCAAGGGATTTCCCAGGGGCTGGACAAAGTCCTTACGTGGGCTGGATCCAGCCTGCAAGCCATGTTTTGCCTACCCCTGGTTTAGATAAAGAGAAATATTTTCTGATATAGGAATGAATAGCTACCCATGATTTTTCTAAGGCCAAGATGAAGGAGGCTTTGCCAGCAAGCTATGCATTCTGAGACCAAGGACTTTACAAATATGAATGCAACCAGCTCAGATTAAATTCCTGATGAATTCCAGCTACTATACTGAGAACATAGTGCCCTGCTGTCTTTACCCTGCAAATTCTGCTACATACCTTGTCACCAGGGCATGAGAAAGAAAGGAAGAATCTTTTTCTTTGAATGGCTGTTAATTTAGAACTCACTAGTATGTAGAAACATTTTCTTCCAATATTATCTATCTATCTTACAGGCCTGTATAATAGTGGAAAGAAAAAAAATGCAAGGACTTCTGTAAATCTGTAATGAAAAGATAGATATAGCTTAAATTTCTTCCCCCTACTCCTCCCCTTTCCTTCCTTACCCAGAAAAGGAGGAAATGATCCAGACTTTCAAGTAAGTTCTTTCTAACACACAGAGATATCTCTCTCAAAACTAGGTAACAGCTTACACTAATAAAGACAGAAGCTGGATTTGGTTGCCCATAACTTCCAGTAGATTAAGTCAGCACAACCTGTTGTTGTGTAGTTTTGCAGCAAGGGTGCTTGTTTTCTGTTAATACTACTTCTATTTCTCTGTTCTCTTTCAAAAACCAAGAATACTGACATGGAAAGCAAGAGAGGCTTTATTTCCCAGTAGCTCTGTTGATATGTCAGAGAGGTGTCAGCTTTTTACTAAAGCAATAAATTCATAATTTCTACAGACCCCTCTGGCTCTAGGGCCTAAAGCAGAGAGAATAGCAGGGGTTGCATTACAAGCTCTAGTCTGCTTTCCCCGAGACCTCTTCTCCCATAATGGCTATGACCCCTTTATCCAAGGGGAGCTTTACAGGAAGAGGTAGGATGGCAGAAGCAACAGTTTACATGGGTAATCCTTGTAGAGCCTAAGCCCCCTCTGACAGACTGCATAAATTTAACTGGTGGCCTAACTCGGTGCATAGAACTTTTTATACGAGGTGCTGATGTGCAAGTAGGAAATAATGAATGCACCCTGATTTTAAGAGCTCAGGCTGATATAGCAGAGCTGGCAGTTAGAAAAACACTTATTTGTAATCAGAGCACATATGGCCTGGAAAAAAACAAAAGAACACACTGCAGTGCAAGGAAAATGGAACCTCAGGATCCTACTACTATAGCCATTTCTCAGGGGGAAATGAACCTTGACCCTGGGGATAGGTATATACTACACGCCCAAGTCTCAAACCATTAGCACATGCTGCCGTTGCATTCTTTGTTCTGCCGGCTCAATTCAGAAAGCTTTTCAAAGCAATCCTTTATTGAAATACACATTATCATAGTGATGATCTTCATTATATTTGGAGGCAACAGAATCCAAAGCACTTATAAGCACAAAACCAAAACAAGAGAATAATTGTCTATTTTGCCCTATCTTACTTGTGACAACTGGGATCACGAACATGAGACAGCAGCTTATTAGGTATCAATATTTTTATAAGCATTTACATTCTATGTTGTCACATGTCCTGCAACAGTTAAGCAAAATGAATGCTGGTAACTCAATAAATTACATGTGAATTATTAAAAGATGTATACATATTTTATCTGTCTCTCCTGACTATGACCACATATAGATGAATATAATCTGTTCATTGCTTTATGGACATAAAGTCCGCTGGGGAACATCAGAGATTCACTATTGCTCTCAAATGCTAGGTTTTGCATTTGAACTCCGATTTATCTCGAGGAGCTGTACAATTTCTAGATAATTCCCCTTCTTGATTACATCACTGAGTGCAAACCAGCAATATTTTTTCAATACACTTATTTCAGCAAATACAAAATTCACCTGTTCAGGCTGTATTTTGCTAACATGCTCATTTTTAAGCTAAGATGATAGACACCAGCTAGTAGAGATTTAAAAAGCACCTAATGGAAACTGAATAACAGAACACTGAAAGTTATACATTTGGGTCAATGTCACTGCCACAAAAGCTGATGGCAAGGATGTTTTTGGGGTGATATTTTTTATTGGACCAAATGCACGGATGGAATAAAGTAAGACAAGCTTTCAAATACCAGTCACTCTCTCCTAGACTATCACAATTAGAATATCACTCTAACACTATAAAAGCTGAATTATTTTAGGTTTCAGAACTATTTTGCATGTTGGCAGGCAACATTTAGCCTTGTCAGAGAAACATATGTGAAAGATCTCTCTCCCATTTTTCTCAAGTGGGGATTAGAGAGAGAATGATTTTCTGAACACAGCTATTGTGTGGTCACCACCATCCTAATTCTCATCCTAGGAAGATCACACTTGGAATAAAACCAATGACATTGTCATACACAATACATGCCTGCTTTGCTCTTAGTTGTGTGCAAACACATATTACAAGCAGCAGTCCTATTAACATGTGACAAATGGTTAGGAATGTTTTATCATATATCGCCAACCATTCAGTTGACTTGCTTCTTTGGTTTAAGAGTTTGGGGGGGAGGGAGTGGGTTAGTGCCCCTCAGTAGCTTGCAAATTTTTCCTGAGGACCTTATTCTTCCTATCAAAAATCTTTTTCTTTTTTGAAAAACACTATAAAATTTCAATGAGTGCTACATTGTATAAAAACCTTGAAGTAGGGCTTTCATTCACAGTACTCCTACACATCTCATCTTTGGAACAATAATAAAAGGAGTGTTTTATAATATGTTTCAATGAAACTAAACTAAAATAAGCCTCTTTAGCTAAATCTTAAACTTTGCTATTTGAGTCCCAAACTGTTAGGAGCTGAACACTAGGGCTGTGCAGAGCTTCGGGTGCTGATTCGATTTGAAGGAAATTTGGCCTGAATCTGAATTGAATCGGGAGACCAATAAAAGGGTCCAAATCAATTCGATGCTCTCCGAGTAGATTCGGAAAAGATTAAAAAAACTTTGGAGAGATTCAGAGATTCGGGCAGTCCCCATGCGCCGCTGCAAGGAGCTGGACACGTACTCCGTGCCGGTAAGTAGGGGGCAGGGGGCTGGAGGAGTGGGGAGAGGACCGCGGAGGAGGGGAGCATCCAGCTGTGTGTGTGTCCAGATGGGTATGGACGTGTCTGCAGTGCCACATACCACACTGCTGTGCTTGTCTGGACACAGCCCCAGAGTCAACTTAGAGGCTGCTTTTAGAAATCGTGAAAATGAGGGGAGAGCAGCCTTAAAACTGATTAGCTCCTGTCATTTTCAAGGCTTCAAATAGCAGCCGTTTGACAGCTGCTTCCCTTCAGTGTTTCTGGAACAGTTAAACAGAGTGCACTTAGTCACAAGGTAGAGTTGGTTAGTAATAGTATGCAGTGAACTGGAGTACAATTAAATTACAAAGCAAATGGAGTGGGAGGAAGGACTGAAAGATGCTATATACCTAAGCAGTTTATGCACTTAACCCATATGCAATAATCAATGATTGCTACAATGTAAGTAATGGGCAACAAGTTGGGACTCGCACAGTGTTATGCAATTAAGCCATTTATGCACTTATCCAGTATATGTATATAAGTGGGAATCCACAATCTTATATATTATTATTACTTGTGCACAAACCTTCTATTTCATTTTGAAAAAGTCTTACACTAGGACAGGAAGGAATCAAAGAATAGACTGCTTGAACAGCATCGATATTTTTCCTGTTTGGTGGGCCTGGTAATCAAGCAGCATTTGGTGGATCTGTCACTTGTTACTGGCTTGCAGCTAGGTTAAGTAGACCAGGCAGACTAAGGATCACTGCTGAAATGCATAATTCCCCATTTCTTCACTTCTGTCCCCCACATTTCCCAATTATATCTCAGTTGCTTAAAAGTTAAGAGGATTTTTAAAACGTTTTTAAAATTATTTCAAAATGGTAATTCAGTCCCTTGAGTAATTCTTTAGGGAGTACTCCAGGAAAACTGCAGTGATTTGTTAAGTTATCAACTGCCAGAACTTTGGGGGAAAAGGAGGCACAAAAGAGAGAACCTATTTATTATCATTCAAATATTTAGAAACAGCAGCCTTGAATTCAGTATTGGAGCAGGTTAATGTCTATAATGAACTTCAACCAGTCTTCATAGACAAAGACAAGGCTAGAAAAACATTAAAAAGGGATTCTGGTTAAGGTGCATATTCTTCCAAGGGTCTGCCCAAGCAAAACCCAATCTGAAGCCGACGGGCCTTCCTCTCAATCCTACTGCAAACGTCCAAACAGGGTTTTCCTATTTAATTCTGCCCCACCAAAAAAATTCCATCTGTTGGGGGTAACAGCCTTCTCTTTCATATTCAATACAGTTTGTAATTAAATTCCACATCAGAAATAGCTGCATATCATTGGCAGGCAAAGCAATTTCTGTATTTAAAGGTCCAGTATTGCAAGCATTTATTGCAGGAAAGTAGATCTGTGAGATTAAGCATAAAGTTCCTCACACAGTAAGATTTACAGTAGTGGGGATATGGGCAAGTGAAGGGTGCTTTGCATATCAAGTTCTCACCTCAGTATGCTGGCATATACACAATTAAGGGCACAGACTTGGGAACAAGTTACAGCCAGGTAAGCTAGGACACAAACTTATAGCGTGTCAGCTACTCTGCGGTAATTGCCTATGGGCATGTTATTCCTCTGCGATCGTTGATATATGATAGACATTTTACCCCACTTTCACATGAGAAACTAACCTGCATTAACAGCACATCAGTCACTTTGCTCTGAAGTTCACACTCTAGCTTACTTCCCACAAACTTGTCCCTGTTCCCATACTCTAAGACTATTATAATGTAAACAACAAAAGCATGTTCATAGATTGTAAGGGCTGGAAGGGACCTCAACAAGATAATCGGGTCCGCTGTTAGCATTAATTTTTGTGCTGCCTTTTTATTATACGCTCAGTCATTTGCAATCTGTTCTTGACAGCTAAGACCCCTTTGGTACTTTTGCTCTCGCTCACAGTATTGAGCATCTTGGACTTTTAATATATCCTCGGCTTGACAGCCAGAAGCCAAATTCAGTTCTTTGGAGTAGTAAAATTAGTGAAACACATTTCAAAGGGTTAATATATTACCATGGTTACAATTTACACCACCTTTTAGGATCTGAATTTGAAGAAATATGTACTAATTTGGTGGTCCCAATGTAACTGTTATCGCTATTTTAGAAATCCAAACAAGAATCAATAATCTAATCCTGAAGTCTAGCTTCTATTTTCAAAACTATAATCCTTGAAAAAGAATTTCTGTTTCCAAAAGTGCTCCCTCCCCCCCCACAACATGAAAAACATTGTTTCTCCGTAATCTGTAGTTATAGGGGGAAACACGGGCCTCAGGGACTTTGAAGGGGGCAAGATTTCAGTCATGTGCATAATGAAGTCACAGCATTTGTAGTTTGGTGGGGAAAAGATAAAGAATCTGCTCTATTTAAAATGTACCTTGTGCTGGAGGGTTTGCTGCCATTGTGTTACTTTCAGCCTTAGTTTTTTTCAATGGCGGTTACAATTCTTAACATCTATGAAAATCTGCAAAACAGATACAACATAAAAGGTTAATGTACTCTTTTGAATTTCATATCCCAACTTTCCTACTTAATACGAACTATCAGTTCCAGTCGTCCCAGTCTGATACATGATTTCATCACCATGTTGAATTACCTATTGCTACACAGTTCAAATCCATTGGTTTTTTGATGACATTACCTGAAAAGGTTGAATGTTATGCATTTTTGTCCCACTTGTGTCTTCTTTGTTTACAACAAAGTTCTGATTTTATTAAATGGGGCTAGAGATTTGTGTTGTTAAGCTTCACCTGTCATTTGTACAGTAAAACAAGTCCCTAGTTCAGCCACCACCCTTCTCAGGCACCCAAAATCACTGTTTCACTCTGTCACTTGAGATGCGATTGCATGTCCAGTGAAGTCCACAGCAAGACTCGCAGAGACATCGCTCGGCTCCAGTCATCTACGAGCACCAGAGCCCGTGGCTTTAGCTTGGGTGCTCGTTCAGAGCCATGTAGTACTGTGCTTATATGCTATCAAACACATTCAGGACATTTTATGACAGCTCACGTGAGCTGCGATAGCTCATGCAACATGCTCAGTCCCCAACTGCTGCCTGCCTGTGGACAGGTGGACTGCAGCTTGGCACCAGAGGGTTTATTACACAGGGGACTGATTCTGCAAACCCTCCCTTTGGAGCTCATCGCCTGGCACAGTGACAGATGAAGGGCCTGGGAGGCGGCTGCCGGCCAGAGTAACAAGTGGTGTGGCAGTACAGACACAGAGCTGGGGGGGCACCTCTGGGCGGTGCAGGGGCAGGGCATAGCAGGCCCTTACCATTCCCCACCTAAGCCAGGCTGTGTACCCCTCACCCACCCCAAGGGGACAGCTCCCTCTCTGCTGTGCTTCCCCCCCTCCTAACTGCAGAGATAGACTCTTCCAAGCTCCCCCATAGCTGCAAGTGGAGTCTTCCCCTTCCTTCCCTATTCCCTCACGTCCCAACCACACCGATGGACTCTTCCAAGTTCCCCCCGTGCCACTGCAGAAGTGGCCTCTTCCACCCCTTCTCCCGCCCCCGTTTCCACCTCTAGCTGCAGGGACTGACTCTTCCATTCCCCACCAGCCCCGCAGTTCTCCCTCAACAGCGGCACGAATGGGCTCGTCCCCCTCACCACTCCTACTCCTCACTCACATCGACCCGACAAGTCGGACTCTTTCTCCTCCCCCTTACAGGCGCCCCTCAAAGAGGGGTGCGCCCCCCCCGCGGCAGAGTTGGACTCTTCCACCCGCCGCATTCACCCCAGCTGCTGAGTTGGAGCCCCCCGAATGAGATTAAACTCACCCCACACCCCGCTCATGACGCACAACGCATGCGACACCTATTCTGCCGCGGCTGTTTCCCCAGGGCGCTGGGAAACTACGTCATCGCTCCGCCAGAGCACACACCCCCCCTGCTTTGACAGGCAGGCGCGAGAGCCAATCAACGCCGCCAAGGTAGACGCGGGGCCGGAGTCTCTAACTGACGGCTTTCTAGCGCCACCTGCCGAGCGTGCGGGGCGGAGGCGGGGCTTGTATCTGGGCAACGGGGAGGGGCGGGGCTGAGTTGACCTGCTCTTACAGTCTAAGACGGTCCAATGGGGCGAGGGGGCGGGTCTGTGAGCGCCCTAGGGGCTGCCCCCAGCTGTGCAGGGACATGGACAAGCCTGGCTCTGCAGCAGAGATCCTGGTTTTCTCTGATAAAAAAAAAATCCCTCATTTTCAGATTTAAAAAGGTAACCCCGAATCCACTCTTTTCTGTGATTAAAATGAAACACCACCAAAATTAATATGTACACACACAATGGCATTTCATTTTAATCATGGAAAAATGTGGATTTTGGGTTACTTTTTTAAATCCAAAAATTGGGGATTTTTTTTGTAATCAGAGAAAACCAGGATCCCTGCTCATCGTGGAGCCTGCAAATACCCCGGGACCATGGGTGCCCAGGCATGGAGATATTGAGGCGTTATTGAATATTTACAGCCAGGGTGAAGGATTTGCCCAGACTCTGATTACTGCTCTTGAACTTTATTTTTTGACACTTGGCTGCCTAGGGCAGGCCCGGGGGCCGCAGCCAGGCCTTGAGACCCTCCACAGGGTGCTGCCAGGTCTGGGGCATGTGAGCACAGTGAGGCTGCCAACTCGATTCACAGCAGAAACCCAGAGTTTCCCCCTGGAAACCCCCAGGGTGACAAGCCCTGAGGCAGGACGTGGGCTTTTGGAGCTCTTGGCAGCTCTTGGCTCCGTCTTGTTTTCTTGTCGTTAACAAGGTGAAAACAGAGAGCTGGCATCTTCCAAGGGCTGCCTTGAGTCTGCAAAAGGTTGAGAATCACTGATTTAGGTCAGGGGAGCTCAACCGCCGGCCCGCAGGCCAAATGCAGCTCACAGAGCTATTGCATCTGGCCCATGGGACACCCCCTGGGTCAGGAAATTTAGTGGTGGGGGAATGGTGGCCGTTAATAATGCCATCCTCCCCCGCCAAATTTCCAAACCCAGTTAGAGCCAGGATGCACCTCCTTCCCAATCCAGTGCCTGGGGCCCCGTGAAGCCCCCTTCCCTTCCCTCCCCACTGTGGGCCTGGGCTCATGCTTGGCTGCCTGCCAATCCACTCCATGTGGCCAGATAATGGCTGGCCCACTGGCCCCAGGTACTAAATCAGAACCACCATCCGGCTCGCAACCAGACCTGGTACTGCTTATCTGGCCCACTAGGGGAAAAGGTTGAGCATCACTGATCTAGGCTGTATGCCTATTCAAAGTGGTTGGGAATGGTGCGCATGCATGTGTGTGTTCTGAATGCCAGATCAATTTGTAGCAAAGCACAAAAATCACAGGTTCTAACAGGTGTTTGGGCATGCTAATCCATTTAAAATGTGGGAAATGTGTCAGAAGAAACAGAAGAGGTCTCTCAACTTTAATCCTCACTGTGAAACCTGAATAGGAGCACTGCAGGAAAAACTACATTTCCTGAATTTTCTAAAGGCACCATACACCTATGCTGGAAAGCACTTAGTTTTGAAGCACCAAGTGACAGCTTTACAAACAAACACATCCTCTTTTAGGACATTTTTCTTCACGTTAGTATTAATCATTAGAAATAAAAAGTCACCTACAGCTTTATTTGGGACTTTTGAACCCATCAGACTAAAATCAGACTAAAATCAGCAATAGTGCGATCTGTACCATGATCCCTAATGCATGCAGGTTTGCTTACTTAATATCTCTCAAGAATAAGTGGTGTCTGGCAAAACATTATAAGCATAAATATTGGCAACTTAAAGCAATGCTTTTGTATGGTAAAATAACATTTCAAATAGATGCCATGTGGACAATTTAAGATTTTGCTGTACTTTTTGAGGGACAACAGTTTAAGGAGAAAGATATGTTGCATTTAAATCAGAGGTGGAAAATTTAAGTCTAGAAAATAAATTACAATAGCAAGAATCAAATACATCTTTGATAGAACCAAAACCATTTCCTCTGTTACCAGATATCAGACTTTATAATACTATATATCACACACCCTAGCCACCCTCCCCCCACACACAACCCCCACAAACCCCATACCCACCCACACCCCACATATTCACACACACACCTACATGATCCCTCATCCCACACCCACGCCTCCACACCTATCCACCCCCCACACATCCACGGACTCCCCCACATCCCACATATGCACACACCCACAGCCCCCCACAAACCTATACCCACCCCCCACAATATACAAGAGTAAGACTTTATTTTAAGCTATTGTATACAATCACCTCTATGTACACTACACAGACACATGTAAACCAGGACAAAAATATTTTCTGAAATCAAATTAATTAATGTTCTAAATGTTCGCTTTTTAGAATATAATTGGTATTTTTCTGGTTCCGAGATGGTAAACCCCCTTGCTGAAAGGAGTACTTCTGGGGCACAAGGGGGGTGGACTTCTGGTAGCAAAGATCAGGGGTTAGGGGGCAGGACTTCCAGTCACAAGATAGGGACCAGGGGGCAGGGCAGCTGTCAAGGGGTGGAGCTACCTATGCAGCCCTCAAAAGCTTGCCAAAACTCAGTAAGCTGCCCTCTGCCCAAAATAATTGCTCACTCCTGCCCTAACCCCTCTTTGTTTAGCAATCTGTTTTCTCCTCCTTTGTCAGCCAAACTTTTGTTTTTATTGGGACCTGAGAAATACTTGCTTCTTTTGCCTTTGATTGTTACCTTATCTTATGTTCTTCCTTTACTTATATAGAATTACTTATATTGAATTACTTACACAGAATTATATAGAGTTGCGTACTTATATAGTTACTTATATCCAAAATCAAGATCAAACATTCTCCATAACTGTAATGAGCATCACCCACCAAGATAGTACTAAGTGTGGCTGTAAAGAAATACCCTATAGCTGCTATTAAAATTATCATCAGTTTTGGAAAGATTCTCTGTTCTCACTGAATTAATTTCCTTCTATGTTATGTGTGTGTGTGTGTATGTATACACACATGAACAAACATACAACTTGAAAATTGTGTATTGGGTCTAAACCTTAATATATTTGAATCTTCAAGTTTCTTTAAATTTTATGCTCATGTATCTTATGTTTTTAGCCTCACTGTAACTAATTAGAGAACTAGAAAACACACCATTTATCTATCAGCTAAAAAAAAAATTATAAAATATTGAATTCAGAAAAGTCTGTGTTTGTGTTTGACCTGGGAAATCTTCCCAAGCTATCCATGTGTTGAGTCTAGTTGTGTATTTCAGACTATCCATTTATATTGCTATAGTTAGCAAAGCAGGATACCTCACTAAACACACAAACAGAAAGGAATGAAATGAGATATGCTTTATAATTAGCTTCAATGTTTCAGCCAGCAACACACATTTTACCTTTTCCATGCTGTTTGTGCCAAGTGGAGAAGTTGAAATGCAGTTTAGGAAAATTTTGTATCCATGGTTTGCATCTTATTTGGCAAATAGATTATGAGATTCAGAATGGCTTACTGGGCTATAAAAGTTTATCAGCAAAAGTCTAGAAGAGATCTATGATTTTTGAATAACAAATCTGCAGGCATTGTATGTAGGTTATCCTAAACACACCATCTTGTATCTATGCTTGCTATGGACATTACAAACAACCCCAAACCAAACTAAAACTTATTTTAGGGATGTTTTAGAGAGAAATTGAACATTTTATTGGGGCGTTTTTATAACCTTTTGCCTTGAAAGCCAGTTGCTTTACTTGCCCTCTGTCCAACAGTGCAATTTGAAGGTTCATGATAAATTCATTTCTTACCTGACTGAAGTGTATCATGTGTTTCCACAATCACATGCCTATTACCTTCACAGGACTACGTGCATTGCCTTCACATAAACTATCACTTCTTGAAGGGCTTTCATCCAGTGAGGACTTACACATATTTGCTTTATTTTGCATGTAGATGAATAGCCCCATTGACTTCAGTATGACCTCTCCTGTGCATACAGTTGAACAGAGATAGAAGAAATTCCAATATCAGGGCCAATATCTTCTAGGTCTGCAGGGCAAAAGCCAGGAGTTGCATTCCACTGAGAAGGGAGGTGGCCACTCTTCTGAAATAGATGCTTATAATTCACTGGGCCTTAAAGTCATGACATTATACATCATAAATGTAATTCTGAATAATTGTATATATGTACACTCCTACCCAGCTGTATGCACGTGTTTACAAAGTACACATATACTAGGCCTCTGTGTAAATGGAACAAAGGAAACACAAGAAAAAAGTGGATGACCAGGAAAATGGTCAAAGGAAGAGTATAAAAAAAGGAGAGAGAGTTTTTATCTGACCTTGAAGAGCTGTCAGGGATACATTCCAAAAATCTTCTGTCTGTACATTATCCTTACTATAGGCAATGTGCATTACAGTGAGGTCCTAAACATTTAAGTGTTAAAATTATTAATGCTTTATACACTAAAGCAGTAAAGCCATGGGCTCTTCTGGCTGTTCTAGCAAGGAAATATTGGAGTGGTGTTAAAGTCATAATCATCCAAGAATGATGAGAGAAGTGAGGTTTTTGGGGGGTAATATCTTGATTGGACCAACTATAGTTGGCAGAGATGTTTGACATGCTTTCGGGTACAAAGTAAAGAAGGTCAGACCTAAAGAAGGGCACTTTGTGCCCCACAGCTTTGTCTAACATTTATCCCAACTAGACACTTAGTCCAATAAATGATATCATGCAAAAAAAACCTTGCCTCTAGAAAATAAATTCACCCTCAGCTTTTTCTTTTACCAGTGTCTCCCTCCACAGTCTCATAAGCTATTAGCCATTTGACACCTTGTCTTCTGAACAACAAGTAAAAGATAGAAGTGAAAATATATCAGAAGAGACGTTATCATCAGAAGATAACTGAGAGACTACCCATCCCCACACTGAGTAGGTGTCATGCCATCTGCCATGGTG